ACGCTTTTTTCAGTGGTTAACCTTCATCAAGCAAATCGTTTAGTACAAGGTGAGAAGCCATCGTAAACAGGAAATGGTTCTGACTCCACCATCAAGAAGACAAATTTCAATACTATATAGACCCTGAGAATAATCACCACTAATAAAAAGAACTGGAGAGCCCTCAGGAGAGGGACATAGTTGCCCAATTTATGCATGACCTTGACCTTTGTCTCAAGGTCATATGTTACTTCACCAGTCTATAGGCTTCAAATGTCTTCCTAAGTTAGTATACTAAACTTTTTGTGCATTTTCAGTCAAACAGAGCTGATTTTGGGAAATGCGACCTTTGACCTCTGTAGCAGTCACCAAAGCATGTATTGATCCCAAAATCTAATCACTCTGAGAAGGGGACCATACCGAGGTCATGTATGAAGTTTCAGGTTGAAATTCTTCTCCTTTAAAGCTCTACACTGTTACCAGACAAACACACACACACACACACACGGGCACGATTACTATCATAATAGATATTGTCACAAAACATTTACATAGTAAAAGGGTAAAATCCTGGAATGCCTCAAGTCTGCTATGTTCTCAGTGTGACCTGGATTTGCAATTTCTATATAAATAAAGAAATCCCCCCCCTTCAAAAAAAACACACTTGTAGTGGATATCAAGACACATAGTATTGCATAGTTATGCAATCACAGTTTACTTGAGATCCTCATCCTGGTCAAAATGCACAACATATAAAATCGAAAAAAAAAAAAATACAATCTGCATGTGACACACAGAGGTGAGCTTTAAGGGGTTTAGCGGAGCAGCAGCAGCGTTGTTCTTTGTGTCCTCTACAAGGTGGAGTTTTGTCATAAATCACTCATTATGCAGAATGCTCCATGTCACAGTGTCATTATATCAGAATGTTTTACTGTGAATGGGCTTTAAAGGTGCTGCATATGACGCTCAGAGCCACTGGATGTTGCTAGAGCACCGACATCTCAGTTTAAAAACAGCCACACTTCCCCTCCCCTGCTGTTACTTTCATTTAGGTTGTGTACAAGAGAGTCAAGGCTGAAAC